CAATACTGCATATAATGTATATATATAAACTCACTGTATTGAACACAATAACCGCACTAAAGTTATTATCATATTATTGTTTACCACTGTTGTTTATTACAATAAACATGCACAAATCTTGTATAATACTAATGTTCTATCATATATTTACATATTTACAATCACTGGACATGGTTTTAGAACTGCTGGAGCTTGTGGAACTCCTTGAAACAAGGCACCATGCACAGAGGCACCTTACATTCCTCACACATAAACCGAGTGTCTTTGCGTCTTTGTTGCCATCGTTTTGTTTGTGCACAGATGATGCATCTCTTCTGAGCAAATTTCTTCTGAGTTGAAGGAAGCTGTATTATGAAATGATCACCTTCCCTCCTCAAACGCTTGGGTACATCCTGAGTAATTCGAGGACCTTGTTGTATAGCAGGTGTTCTTACCTGGTACTTCATTATGAGTTGTCTGACAACAGACAAACAAAATTCACCATACGGTGGCCTGTTGCCAGTCTTTATTTGGTACATATTATATGCATTGAGCACTGAAATGTCCATGAGATGGAAGAAAAGTTTCATGTACCACTTGTAACTCTTACGAACACAGTCAACAAAACCAATCTGCATGTCACACTTGTCAACCAGGCGCATGTTTTGTGTATAATCAATCACTGTCACTGGTTTTCGAATACGTTCATTAGTCACTCGATCAACTTTACCACTGTCTTGCATTTCATTACGGTGAATGGTTGTCAACAATTTGACATCTCGTTTGTCATGCCACCGTAATGTCATGATGTCATTGGCAGTAAACACCTGCACGTCATCACCACGAGCACCTGCGTTGAGCCTGGGCATATGTTTACGATTAGATGTGCCACACACATCTGTCTTGTTCACTCGCATGAAATCACTGAGTAATGGGCTTGTGTACCAGTTATCGGTATATAATGTATGCCCCTTACCAAGATAAGGTGCCATCATGTTTCTCACTACGTCACCTGAGATACCCAATAACATCTTGGTATCTTTCAATGTTTTACTTCCTGTGTATACAACAATATCCAACACCAGGCCACTGTCACAGTCACAGAGTACAAACAGTTTTATACCAAAGCGTTTCCTCTTACTCGGTATATACTGCTTGAATGACAGTCTACCTTTGAACAAAATCAAAGACTCGTCAATTACAACATTCTTGAATGGATAAAAGTATATGCTGAACTTTTGTTTGAGATACATGAAAACATTTCTGATCTTGTATAACCTGTCACTTCTGTCAGGCCTGGTTTTGTCAGAGAAGTGCAACATACATAAGAGTAAGATAAACCTGTTCACTGGGATGATTTCACTGAAGACCGGGGTAGAAATTAGCCGATCTTTGGACCAGTATGCTTTTATATTATGCTTATAGACATGAGGCATAAGCATTATTGTTGCAAAAAGCAAATACATTTCTGCAACAGTCGTCTCTTTCCACCTGTGTAGTCTTGACTGTGGTGATATGATCGTATTTGCCATGGTGTACTCAAAATACTTATTACTTTCCCTGACAATAGTTTCCATCAATGGCTGGTCAAAGAATAATTCAAAGAATTCCAGTTCATTGGCCGTGGTTCCAAGGGGACAAGAAGGTAGAATTCCACTTTGAGAGTCATCAAAGTGGTGAGGCTTGGGAACAAAATTGGGATTTTGCTGCCAATCCCACATACGGTTTGCTGGTGGATACTGGACATCATAGGCTGGTTGTGCGGGTGGTTGTGGTTGTGGTGGGCTGGTGGCTGACGCTCCGCTTTGTCCTTGAACTGACAAGTCAGCAGCGTGAGTCCCAGCCTGGGCTGGTGAGTCACGCATGGCGGTGCCACTACCACCATCCACTGATGCCTGTGGTCTATCCATGCCAAGTGTAGCCACATCATCCTCACTATCACTATCTAAAACTGGTGTAGGGCCACGGGATGTACTCCGGGATGTACTCCGGGATGTAATCCGGGATGTACTCCATCCCCTGGGCACAGCATAGGGCACACTACCCGAGCGCATGCGGCGGCGAACATACCGACGCTTCACTGGTGAATATGATTCCTCACTATCACTACTCGAATGATCGTCAAGCACAATAAAATCACAATCCACGTCACTATCATCATTACTGAAGTCAGAGGCCTGGCCACGCGAAAATATTAGTTTTCTCTTGCGTTGAGACAACCGACCGTGAGTCACGAGTGCCCACACCAGAGGTAGAAGGTTGAGGATCGTCAGGGTTTTCTGCACTATTATCGATATCCTGGTCATTCCTTTCGGTCACTAACTGATCAAAGCCATAGAATTCGTCTTCATTTCCACTTCCATCAATGTCAGAACTATCAGATAGGAAGAGGAGAGTCCCAATTTTCCGGGGAGCGAGAGCTGACTTGCGATGAGGCATGGTGAACAAGGGTAACTGAGCCGGAGTTCCCACAATGCTATGCGGGTGCCTAGATTTTTTGTTTATGGCACACACCCACCATGCAGACCCGTTCTCTCACATGTAGGCCTATGAGCGCTTTGGCGCTAAATTTGACGGCGCAAGAATTTTGGCATGATCTACGATTTGGACACTCAACGTGAAGCCGTAGATCTACTGGACGGACCCTGAAAGGGTTAATTTTGATATTTAACCCTTTCAGGGTCCAGAGGCCAAATTTCAAAGTGCACACCAGTGTCCAAGAATTTTCAAAAAAATAATTTTGTTATTTTTTCTTAAGAAATAGTAGAGAATCTTTTTCTGAAGGTAATAAAACAAAAAGTATGAAATTTGATAGAGAATTGGCAAAATTATGCTCTAGCGAATTTTGATGTCAGTGATATTTATGCATCGGTGATTCTGCCGACTTTGACTCCCATTTTAGGCCAATTACCTTACTCCAGTCGATCAAATTTTTAGCTATTTCACTAGTATTACTTCTATTCTATCGATTGAGCACAAGAAATTGCCAATTCAACTGTTTCAACTACAAAATAAAGTGATTGGAAATTGGTAATTTGGCCAATTTAGTGCAAAGTTCAAAATATTCCAATTTCAAAATACTGTAGGGTCCAGAATAAACAATGCAGGCATTCCTGGCACTAAACTAACATTTCCTCTGTTCATTAGTTACATTTTCACGCTTTACAAATGAATTCCATTTTGATTTTTAATACACAATGAATTTTTATTCAAACCAAAAAATAGAAGATTTACTGTTATGCAACATTGTAATAATTGTATAAATAATATCAGCACATTTGTGAATGTATATAGATCCACCAGCTGGTGTGTATTAGACGTGTGAGGTCATTTGTTTACTCTTGAACATCAGCAAAAATTTAACATTAAAGCTAATTTGAGCTGTTTCAAGCCATTTTCAGTACTAAAACCTATCAAAATAATCTCTATTTCTGTAATATATCTTCCATTCTATCAAATGAGACCAAGAAATCGCAAATACAACTATAAAAAACATACGAAAAACACTACAAAGTTGCTGTTTTAATTGAAAATTACAGTCTCAGTTTTTTTCTCTCATTATGCACTATGTGCTGCAGGATTTGTTTTATGTGGTGCACACATACCACATAGATGTATTCTCTCATATCTAGGCCCAAATTTACCGCTCACAGCTTATCAGAGTGAGTAGAGCTCATGGCGTAGATCTACAGTTTGGACCCTCAACGTAAAGCCGTAGATCTACGGCACGGACCCAGAAAGGGTTAATCACAGACATGGTTTACTCCCAAATTATATAAACTGTTTTCTCTATATTAACCCTCAAGCTGTCCATCACATACTACAGTGCTCATTGTTAACCCTTCCACTGTCCAGACACCCAAGATTAATATTGCTCTCAGTGTCCACTTAAAAAAAAAATTTTGTTTTTTTCAAAATGGTAGAAAATCTTTTCCTGAGGATAACGACTCCAAAGAGTATGAAAATTGATGGAAAACTTATGGAATTAAACAGGCACAAATTTGGCAGTATGGGCACAATTTACACAATGGCAATTTTACTGACTTTGAGTCCTATTTTCAGCCAATTCCATGGCTTCACTTGACCAAATTCTTAGCTATTTCAATAATTTGCCTTCCGGGCTAACAATAAAAATATCACTCCTTCGACTACTTCAACTACCCTATAAAGTGCACAGAAGCCGGTAATTTTTGCCAATTTCCACAAAATAAAAAAAAATACCAATTTAAAAATAGTGTCTAATGTAGACATTCCTGGTACAAAAACATTTCCTTAGTTCATTAATCATGTCCCCAGTCCTCTTTTATATTACACCTGCCTTCCATTTTGAATTCTTAATAAAAAAAAAATAGAAGGTTTACTCAATTTATCAGATAATAAAATATAATTAGGAATGATTGATAATGGTTTATGGTGTCATAATAACTGAATCAGACCTACTAAAAACCCATAAAACAAACTAGATATAGGGGGTGCTTGCCAGTCTTCAGGAATATCAGCAAAAATCTAATATTTCCACTACTTTGAGCTCAATTTTAAGTTTGTTACTTTACATTTATAAAACTTACTAATATTCAGTATTTCATAAATGTATTACATAAACATTTTCCCCAATTCTTGTCACTGATACTGACACAATTTTACTTACTACAGTCATCTAAAAAACATTATTTTTATATGAAAGCCTTATGTCAAAAAGCAGAGAAAGGTTGAGATGACAGTTATTCAGAAAGGAGCAAGCTAGGTTAAACAAGAGGATCTATTAATCTGAAATGAATGAAAGATAAGAGTAGAGGACATCACAGGAAATGTTAGAGGGAAGGGGAGGTTGGGAGGTAGATGGCTCGAGAATCCAACTAGTACGTACTGTGAACATATTAGATTGGAGTGAGTAGAGACCAGTGATTATTGGTGAATTTGACTTTCATCATCCTACCTTGGTGGGAAATGGCTAATGTATTTAAAAAAAAAAAAGTTACAATACTAAGTACATACATAGTCTTTAATAAAAGCATATTTACCTTTGGAGCACTCCAGTTAAGTTTGGGAAAAACACTTCCTCCAAGTTTCTTGATGGCATCTTTAATCTTGGAATTATACTCCTCTAGCTTAGGACCCTTGAATCATAATAAATGTAATATAATAATAATAATAATAATAATAATAATAATAATAATAATAATAATAATAATAATAATAATAATAATAATAATTTCAGTGGCAGTGGCAGCAAACAAATATTGTACAGCACATTACAATATATAGTACACAGTTGTACAGTGGACCCCCGCATAACGATCACCTCCGAATGCGACCAATTATGTAAGTGTATTTATGTAAGTGCGTTTGTACGTGTATGTTTGCGGGTCTGAAATGGACTAATCTACTTCACAATATTCCTTATGGGAACAAATTCGGTCAGTACTGGCACCTGAACATACTTCTGGAGTGAAAAAATATCGTTAACCGGGGGTCCACTGTATTTGCTTGCATTTAACATTAATCAACCAAGGGGAAGCATGCAGTGCTATACCTATCAGATACTGATGAAAATGAGTTGTTGTATGTAAGCAAACATGTGATATAATTGGGGAGCCAGTCAATCAACTGTGGTTGCCACAACCCACTTATTTAAAAATACAGCATTGTATTTTGGTAGAAATAATTAGGTCATTAACCTGTATATAACTTGTTTTCTCTGTCACTAAGATAAAAACATGATATATGAAGGTAGGATGGAGGGTATTGTACCCTGTACAGTTTGAAAAATGACACTTTTGCACAATTTAACCCCTTAGCTGTTCAAATGTAGATCTACGTTCTTACCGCTAGCACTCCAAATGTACATAATCATTTTATTTTTCCTGCCTCCAGGTTTGGCACGATTGGCTTGAGATGCCTAGTCAGTATAGAATGAGTCTTACCACTCAGTGTGTGCAATATTAAAAAAAATCTGGGACCACTTAGTACTTTGTGGGAACGCCAGTTCAATTGAGTGCCAGCTAGAGCAAATAGCGTGGCAAACACCAGGGATTCATTGATGTCATGTCGTATTAACACTCCCCTTTTAAGAGGAAAGTGATGTTGACACTGAGTTTAGTGTCTTTGAGATGGATGTGACCACCAGTGGTCGAGAAAATTTCAAAAACCTTGATAATAACCATTGTGGAACATTTGTGCAACATCCTTTCAATTTTGATACCACTGGTAGTGTCATCCTGCCAGAATGTCCTATAACCTATGCCATAAGTAGAGAAACAATTCTGGAACATGTGTAATATGTGTTTGGCAGGTTGGCTGGCTGACTGGCCGGTGGCTGGGTGACTGACTGACTTTGGCTGTCTCTATCTCTGTCTATTTCTGTCTCAGTCTCACAGGCACACATTAATACAATTATACATAGTGTAAATTACCTAGGATAACCCCCCAAAAAAAATCCATACAAAGTGCTATATGTACTGTGTTTGTAGATACAAGGCATAATAAGCATGACTGGCGGGTAAATGCATTTTCACTTGGTCAGGAATCAGACTTGATGACTCTGCATCGTGTGTAATACCTGTTGGTTCATAAGGGTCTCTCTCTCCAAGACAGAAAGAGAGAGAAGCAGACAGACAGACAGATAAGCAGAAACAGATAGACAGAGCTAGACAGGCAGATACAGATAGATAGACAGGCAGATACAGATAGACAGACATGCTTATGTGCAACAGTGAAAACAAATACAGTGGAACCTCATTTTTCAGCCACTGCGTTTATTGGCCAATTCATATTTAGGCTGTTTTTTCGGCAGAAATTTTGCTCCGTATTTTGGCCGTTGCCTCATATATCGGCTGCATTAGACACATTAGCCTGCCTCTCCCACCGGGACGCCACGCTTTGGTGAGTCAGTCTCCCTTTGTCGATGAGTGAGGATATACTCCCCACATTCTTCCGAACGTTTCCTTAACCCTTCGACTGTTTCGGCCATGTATATACATATTGTGTATATACACGTATATACAGAGCACCCTGGTACCAGTGATGATGTTAGTGAATTTAAGGCCAGCAGAGGCTGGTATGAGAGATTTAAAAAGTGTAGTGGCACACACAGTGTTGTAAGGCATGGGGAGGCTGCAAGTTCTGACAAATGTGCAGCTGAAAAATTTGTGCAGGAATTCCAGGGGTATGTACAGACTGAAGAATTCCAACCCCAACAAGTGTTCAATTGTGATGAAACAGGCCTCTTTTGGAAGAAAATGCCAAAGAGGACCTACATCACAGAGGAGGAAAAGGCACTGCCAGGACACAAGAGTATGAAAGGCTAACTCTTTTGTTCTGTGCTAATGCTAATGGGGATTTCAAGGTGAAGCCTTTACTAGTGTATCACTCTGAAAATCCCAGTGTGTTAAAAAAAAAACAATGTCATCACGAGTAAATTGTGTGTGATGTGGAAAGCTAATCATAAGGCATGGGTCACGAGGCAACTTTTCATTGACTGGGTCCATGAAGTGTTTGACTCAAGTGTGAAAAAATACCTAGTGGAAAATAAATTGCCACTCAAGTGCCTCCTGGTAATGGACAATGCTCCTGCTCATCCTCCAAACTTGGTAGACCTATTGTCTAGGGATTTCCATTTTATAACTGAAGTTCTTGCCTCATAACACCACTCCTCTCATCCAGCCCATGGACCAGCAGGTCATTTCTAACTTCAAACAACTCTACACAAAAGCAGTGTTTCAAAAGTGCTTTGAAGTGACCTCAGACACTGAATTGACCCTAAGAGAGTTGTGGAGAAATCAGTTCAATATCCTCCACTGCATAAGCCTTATAGGTAAGGCTCGGCAGGGAGTGACTTCCAGGACTTTGAACTCTTCTTGGGGACAATTGTAACCAGACTGTGTCCTCAAGAAGGATATTGAAGGGTTTGAGGCTAACCATGACCTTGTCATGACCTTGACCTTGACCATGACCTTGCCATGGTTAGCAAATTTCCAAGAAAGTCTCGAAAACAGTATGCATCCTTTCAAAGATATGGTACTATGTACCACTATCAGCTCTCCTCTCTCTGTACCACTCACTCATTTACCCTTACCTTACCTATGTAATTTGTGCATAGGCCTCAACCTTTAATAATCCAACAAAAAACAGTAGTCCAATTGATTTCTAAATCCAGCACTAGACAGCATACTCCACCGCTATTCAAGAGTCTCAACTTGCTTAATATACAAGACATCCACACATATTATTGTGCCTACTACATGCATAGAACACTGCACTCAAATATAAAACTCCTCTCGAAATCCTCCTTGGCAACTATAACAGAACACACAACCATAATACAAGAAACAAATCACTCTTCCATACTCCTCGAGCCCATCTCTCCCTATGCAAAAATGCTATGCACATAAAGGGGCCTAAGATCTGGAATTCTTTGCCAGAGAACACTAAAAGATTCCTGCCTGCAAATCAATTTAACCCTCTGAGGGTCTGTGCCGTAGATCTATGGCTTTACGTTGAGGGTCCAAACTGTAGATCTAGGTCATGAGCTCAGCTCACTTTGATAAGCTGTGGGCAGTAAATTTTGGCCTAGATTTGAGAGAATACATCTATGTGGTATGTGTGTACCACATAAAACAAATCCTGCAGCACATAGTGCACAATGAGTGAAAAAAACGAGACCGTAATTTTCGATTAAAACAGCGACTTCGCAGTGTTTTTTCGTATGTTTTTTATAGTTGTATTTGCGATTTCTTGGTCTCATTTGATAGAATGGAAGATATATTACAGAAATAGAGATGATTTTGATTGGTTTTAGTACTGGAAATGGCTTGAAACTGAGCTCAAATTAGCGGAAATGTTAAATTTTTGCCAATGTTCAAGAGTAAACAAATGGCCTCACACGTCTAATACATGCCTGCTGGTGGGTCTAATATACGTTCACAAATGTGCTGATATTATTTATGCAATTATTATAATATTGCATAACAGTAAATCTTCTATTTTTTGGTTTGAATAAATATTCATTATGTGAATAAAAAATCAAAATGGAATTCATTAGTAAAGCCTGAAAACATGACTAATGAACAGAGGAAATGTTAGTTTAGTGCCAGGAATGCCTGCATTGTTTATTCTGGACCCTATTTTGAAATTGGAGTATTTTGAACTTTGCATTAAATTGGCCAAATTACCAATTTCCGATCACTTTATTTTGTAGTTGAAACAGTTGACTTGGCAAATTCTTGTGCTCAATCAATAGAATAGAAGTAATACTAGTGAAATAGCTAAGAGTTTGGTCGACTGGAATAATGTAATTGGCCTAAAATGGGAGTCAAAGACGGCAAAATCGCCGATGCATAAATATTGCTGACACATCAAAATTTGCGAGAGCACAATTTCGTCAATTTTCCATCAAATTTCGTACTTTTTGTTTTATTACCTTCAGAAAAAGATTCTCTACCATTTCATAAAAAAAATAACAAAATTATTTTTTTTAAATTCTTGGACACTGGTGCACACTTTGATATTTGGCCTCTGGACCCTGAAAGGGTTAAGGCTCAGCTTAGAAACCACCTACTCACCCAAAATTAACCAGACAAACCATACTCAATATCTACCAGTTACTCAAAGGCTATACAAAAAACTTCTATATAAGTCGACTCAACTTCAACTTAATTCACTTTCACTACTATATATTGAGCTAAGGATTACTCGACCATAAATTCATTACATCTAAATTAGATGCTTAAATTTCTTTGCATTAAATATTACTAAACTGTAATAATTATTGATTCCATTTAACTCTTAAACTGTCCAAACGTAGATCCACATTCACTCGCTCTGAATATTTTAGAAAAAACATCTTTTTTTTTGTTTGTTTAAAATGAAGAGCGCATTTTTCCTGGCATCCCCGAATTTTATCATACTGAGCACACTGAGTGCACACACCCATTCTTTCATGTCTAGGCAACTCAGGTCTATCGTGCCAAGGTTGAAAGCACGTAAAATAAAACGTGGATCTACGTTCGGAGCTCTATGCATGTGAACGTAGATCTGTGTTTGGACAGTTTAAGGGTTAATTGTTCTAAATGATACTAAATTGTAATAATCTCAAATTGTAAATTTTTTTTTAAATTGT